TTTGGTTTTTTCGAGACAGGGTTTCTCTGTGTAGCTTTGCGCCTTTCCTGGAACTCACTTGGTAGCCCAGGCTGGCCTCGAACTCACAGAGATCCGCCTGTCTCTGCCTCCCGAGTGCTGGGATTAAAGGCGTGCGCCACCAACGCCCGGCGCAAATGCAGGCTTTTGGTTTGCCAGAGTACCAGCCAGGTGGGCCGGAAGCCTCCAGAAACACCGTGTGCAGGGACACACAGGTACAGGGTGTTGGGTGGAAGTGTGGTCGCTGTGACCAGATACCTAACTAAAGGAGGGGGGACTTACTGTGGCTCTCACGGAGCACTGTGCGATGGTAGGAAGGCATGGAGGTAGGAGGGTGAGACACTGGTCACATTGTGTCCCCAGCTGGGAAGGGGGGGGGTTAGGGAGGGAGAGAGGGAAGAAGGGGTGGGGGGGGAGAGGAATGCTGGTGCTCAGCTCGCTTCTCTTTCCCCAGCCCATGAAGGGCACTGCCCGCATGCATGTAGGGTGTGTGATGGATCATCGTCCTCCAGGTGTGAGGTGGTCATTGCACTCCTGAACTGTCACCAGCTGTGACTGTGGGAAAGGGAGCTGCCCACTCAAGACTGCTCCCTTTCTGTCAAGGAAGTGGGGAGGAGCTCATGAGGCCTCCCCTCCCTGAGGGCTTATACGGTGAAAGGTTGCTAGAGGAGAAGGGCTCACAAGACCCCTCCCCATCCATCCCCAAGGGTTCATAGATAATCTTTTGTTGCTCTTTTGTTTGTTTTTGAGACTGGCCTTTTCTGTGTAGCCCTGGCTGACCTGGAACTCTCTCTCTATGGACCAGGCTGGCCTCGAAATCTTAGAGATCTGCCTGTCTTGGCCTCCCTCCCGAGTGCTGAGATGAAAGGCGTGCGCTGCTGCTGCTGCTGCTGCTGCTGCCGCCGCCGCCGCCGCCGCCGCCGCCGCCACCACCACCACCACCACCACCACCACCACCACCAAGCAGTTACTGGAAGAGAAATTTTTCCTCTACTGCTATAACTGCCCATAAAGTTTCCCACCCTCCTATAAGAAAGTCCAGCCATACTCATTGGTTCACAAGCCACGTTGGGTGCAGTCATTTCTTTGTCCCTGTCCTTGGTCCCCTATCTGGGGTGAGCAGATGTTTCTCCGGGATTCCTTAGAAGTTCACACACTTGGAGCCTGAGCAAGAACCAAAGATGAGTTCAAGAGGAGCGCTTGCATTGTCTGCTGTGCGTGATGAGACGTGTGGCTGAAGCTAAGCTGTCTGAGGGTTCAGCATCCGTGGACGTAACCCCAACATGTTGTCTTCCATGTGGTGCAGACGGTCCTGCCTTCTTGCTGCAGTCAGGGTTGTCCTGTCTCCTGTGGGTGAAGATTCTCGACATGTGAATCCTGGGGTGGTCGTCTTCCTCTGTGTGGGATGCAGTGGCGGGCCTTCCTGATGCATGGGGTCTACACATGAGTGCGGGATGGTGGACAAGCCAGAGAATATATTACGATCTGAAGGTAGCGTGTATGGGAAGGGATGGTAAGCAGACTGTGGTATTGATCACATGACTCTGGGCTGTAAGACATACAACTGAGGCTGAGCTATCTGCCCAGAAAGAACATGCCTGAGTAAGGAGGGACACGTGGATGCTACCTTTTGCTCTAAGTTAGCAGGAAAGGGGCTGGTGAAGGTAGGGGAAGGAGATGGAGTGCTGGAGAAACTTGCTGTTTCTCATGGCTGGCAGGGCAAAGGAAAAAAGTACAAATCAGACTGTCGCTGAACAGTCCCTCCTGGGATCCCCAAACCCAGAACTCAGGAAGAATTAGACAACGAGGAGGGAGGGAGGGAGGGAGGTATAAATGATAGAAGCTAGCCTTTAATACAGAAGAAAGGACAATCCATTCTATAATGTGCAGATGGGGGACTTAATAATGGTCCAATACAGGAAACAATGATAATCAGGGAGTGTTTTGCCTTTGAACTGTTTGCCTTGGGAAGAGACTTTAAACAACAGATGGGGGACCCTCTCACAGTGTGGACTGTGAGACTGTAGGACATGGGGGTGTAGGCAGAATATTCTGCCCCACCAGCCAGCTTTCAAATAATCACACAAAGACTTATTTTTAATTATAAATGCTCGGCTGACAGCTTAGGCTTGTTTCTAACTAGCCCTTATTACTTAACCCATTTCTATTAATTTACTTGCTGCCACATGGCTTTATTACCTCTATCCCATTTTGTGTGTTCGACTTGCTCGTGGCTGGCTGGCTTCTCCCCATGTCTCCTAGCAACTCTGCCCTTCTTCATCCCTGCGTTCTCTTCCTGTCTGCAAGTCCCACCTAACCTCTTCCTGCCTAGCTATTGGCCATTTAACCAATGAGAGCAATACACCTTTGCAGTGTACAAAAAGATTGTTCCACCACATGGGGGCAAATGGGGTTAGTCTGAAAACTATGCAAATGGAGCAACTGAGCGACATAGCTACCCATGCCTCTTTAAGACAAAGGCTGAATAATCTGGGGCTGTATGAGGCAAGTCAGTCACTTTGGAGTGGTTGTATATGAGCATGAAGTAGGGCAGGTTATTTTCAGCCATGGTCCCCGTGAGCACCAGGGACTGGAGGAAAGCAAGAAGCACAGGCACTATTGAGTGCATAGCACACGAGAGAGGACGTGTCTGATGCCTGGTCCACTGTGCCAAACAGGGCCATCTTCCTTGGAGCATTAAGAAAGAGGCTGATTCCCAGGGACCTCAGGACTGCTGTGGGGCTTTTGTGATGGTGCTGAGCTCCCTGGTAGAAGAGCATCATTCAGGCAACAGAGGCTTCAGCGGGTCTGGATGGTTTACAGAGGCAAGTGAGTCAGGTTCCTGTAAAAACAGACAAAGGGGGTTAGAAACAGAAAGAGCAGACAAGGACCCATCTGTGCAACCTGAAAGCAAACGTGGGAAGACCTGTGTTGAGTTGGAGTTTATAGGGAAAAATAAAAAACACTGACAGCCAAGTTGATTGCTTGTGAGCCTCTGGAAGGCCAGGGTGAAAATAACAGTGGGAGAGCAGCGAAGGTGCAAAGGCTGTGTGCTTGCCTGCATCCCCACCCCGAGTAAGCCAAGTACATTTCCTCCTGCAAGAAAGTCTAGTGGGAGGGTGGAAATTGCTGGTCCAGCCTAAGGCCTTCCGTGATGCTTTGAAAGAAAATGACTCCCCAAGGGAATGGCACTAGGAGGTGTGGCCTTGTTGGAGCAGCTGTGGTCCCTAGCCTCTCACTCCTGAGCACTTACTTGGAAGGGGTACTTACTTGGAATGGGTACTTACCTGGAATGGGTACTTACCTGGAATGGGTACTTACTTGGAATGGGTACTTACTTGGAATGGGCAGGGGGTGGGCCTTCAGAGACCCTGCCCACCCTCCGTAAAAGGTTTCTTTAGAGTTGTGCCTCTGAGCGTCCTACAGATTTGGAGATTCATCTGGAAGTAAATGAGAAAAGGCATGCCCCAAAGCCATAGGGGTTAAATGAAAACCCCAGGGCCAGGAGTGGGTTACTTCAGAGACCCCGGAGGCCCCTGAAATGATGAAGGCTATTGACGCTTACGCTGCTTGCATTCCAGAATTAGACAATAAGACCCTAAAGCTGAAGACGGAGCCATCAGCTGGGACCGGGCTGGAAACGCCTTCCCTCTCTGGCTAGCTTTTGTGGTGCCGGAGGGCGGGATGCAAGCTGCTGAGGGAGAATGTCACCAACAGCTCTGCTCAGCTCTGGATTCTGTGTACTTCACAATCAACACGCCAGGAAAGGTGTGCCCACTGGGGCAAGAGAACGGGTCCTCCTGAGTCGCCAGCTGCTGTGGTTAGCTGCAGGAGACCTGCACAGGATTGGGCTTGTTGCCTTTCCCTTGTGGGAGGGGAGGAGCTCGGGAGATTCGGCTCCCGCCCCCAGGAGGGCTCATGCGATCTCATCCTCACCAAGGATTTAGACAGTTAAGGGGGGGGTGGCTAATGAAGCTCCACCCCCCACCCCAGGTGATTCTACTGGTTGCTGGGAGGGAGAGGACTCATGGCTCTCACCCTCCCCATGGATATGTAGTTAGTAGTTGCTAGGAAAGAGAGATGTTTTTCTTCAGTGGTGTGACCGTGAGTTACCGTGCTCCTGTGAGTAACCCCAGTTAAACTCAGTTCACAGAGCCACATTTGGGTGGAATTATTCCTTTGTTTCTGTTGTTGGTGCTCTCCTGATGGAAAAAAATCCAAGAGTCCAGTAATGGTCCAATCCGTGAGGCTGGATGTCTCAGCTAGTCTTAAGTATATGCCGTAATCCCAAAGAAGTAGGCTCTAATCCCAGCGAAGGAATAGATTTGCCAGTGAGTGTGAGGGCAAGCAGGCAAAGAGTGAGAGCTTCCTTCTGCCATGTCCTTTACATAGGCTGCCACTAGAAGGTGTGACCCAAATTTAAGGTGGATCTCCCTGCCTCATAAGATCCAGATTTGGGTTGGGGATTTAGCTCAGGATAGAGCGCTTGCCTAGCAAGCATAAGGCCCTGGGTTCAATCCTCAGCTAAAAAAAAAAAAAAGAAGAAGAAAAGATCCAGATTTAGGGTGGGTCTTCATACCTCAAATGAATCAATCAAGGAGAAAAAAATATCCCTCACAAGTATACCCAGCAGCTTGGGTTTTAGTTAATTCCATCTAGTCAAGTTCATGGCCAAGAATAGCCATCACAAACTCTATCTTAGGGGAAAAGATGGTCAAAAGCATTTCAAAGCCAGATGTTTGGCACACACCTTTAATTTCAGTACTCAGGAGGCATAGGCAGGCAGATCTCTATGAGTTCAAGGCCAATCTGATCTACAGTTCCAGGCCAGCCAGGATTGTGTGAGACCCTGTCTCAACAAAACAAATATTCCAGCAAATAGAACTAGGAAACATGCAGGCATCGCTATTCTAATATCTGATAAAACAGACTTCAAACCAAACTAATCAGAAGAGACAAAGGGAGTCACTGCGTGCTATCAAGGGGACAATCCATCAGGAGGACATGGCATCCTAAGCATATATGCACTCATCACAAGTACACCCAATTTCATAAAACAAGTCCTACTAGATATAAAGTCACAGATTAAACCCAATACAACAATAAAATTAGAGAGAAAAAGAAGACATTTCAACAGGTACCAGTGAAATTGAGAAAATCATTAAGGACATCTCTCTCTCTTTTTTTTTTTTAAGATTTATTTATTTATTATGTATACAGTAAGCCTGCAGGCCAGAAGAGGGCACCAGATCTCATTATTGATGGTTGTGAGCCACTATGTGGTTGCTGGGAATTGAACTCAGGACCTTTGGAAGAGCAGCCAGTGCTCTTAACCTCTGAGCCATCTCTCCAGCCCCACTTGTTTTTATTTTTTGAGACAGAGTTTCTCTGTGTAGCCCCGGCTGTCCTGGAACTCACTATGTAGACCAGGCTGGCCTTGAACTCACAGAGAGCCACCTGCCTCTGCCTCCTAAGTGCTGGGATTAAGGCATTTGCCACTACCACCCAACAAGGACATATCTTTTCAAATGTCTATGATACAAACTTTAAAATACTGAAGGAAACTGAAGGAGATACCAGTAGATAGAAAGACCTTCCGTACTCATGATTAGAAGGATCAATACCATGAAAATGATTATCCTTACAAAAGCAACCTTCAATTCAATATAAACCCCATCAAAATTCCAACACTGTTCTTCACAGAAATAGAAAGGAACAAAATTCATACGGGAGCACAAAAGAGACCCAGGCATCCAAAGCAACCTGAGCTAAACTGGAGATGTCACCATACTTAGCTTTAAGTTATACTACAGAGCCATAGTCATCAAAATAATATGGTACAGGGAAAAAAAAAGGCTGGGTGGTTGTTGTGGGACATTAGTTGAAGATGTGTTACATTCTTTTATGCTGTGGAATATTGTTTAATGATGCAAAGAATGTGTTGCATTCTTTTATGTTGCATTTGTTTAGCTCTGTAAAGCTGTGTTACTTTACCTGTCTAAAACACCTGATTGGTCTAATAAAGAGCTGAACGGCCTATAGCTAGACAGGAAAAAGGATAGGCAGGGCTGGCGGGCAGAGAGAATAAGTAGGAGAAAAAAAATCTAGGCTCAAAAAAAGAAGAGTGAGAAGTGAGAAAAGGAGAAGAGGACGCCAGGGGCCAGCCACCCAGCCACACAACTAGCCAGGAGTAAGAAGGAAAGAAAGATATATAGAATAAAGTAAGACAAAAAGCCCAGAGACAAAACATAGTTAAAGAGAAACAGGATAATTTAAATTAGAAAACCTGGCTAGAAACAAGCCAAGCTAAGGCCAGAGCATTCATAAGTAAGAATAAGTTTCCACAGATTCATTTGGTAGCTGGTGGGCCCACAACGAGTAAAAGAACAAAAGACAACTATAGGCAGTGGTGATGCAGGTCTTTAATCCCAGCACTTGGAGGCAAAGGCAGACAGATCTCTGAGAGTTTAAGGCCAGTCTGGGCTACATAGTTAGTTCCAGGACAGCCAAGGTGACACAGAAAAACCGTCTCGAAAGAAAGAAAAAGAAAAAAGGATATGTAGATCAATGGAATAGAGAACCCAGATAGAAGCCCACACAATTTTGACCACCTGATACATTGGAGAAAAGACAGCCTCTCCAAAAAATGGTGCTATGAAAGCTGGGTATCTATAGGTAAAATAATCAAACCAGATCCTTATCTCTCGCCCTACACACAAATAAATAATAAATAAATAAATTCAAATGGAGCAAAGATCTTAATGTAAGGCTTGAAATTCTGAAGCCTCTAGAGCAAGAAGGAAGGCAGACTCTTCAAGCTATCAGCTCCAGTGTGGGCTCCTGATAGGACTCCAGGAGTCAGAAACAAGGCTGACATTGGTAAATGGGATCTTGGGAAAGCAAAAGGCTTCTGTATAACAAAGGAAATCCTTAATGGTGTGGAGAGACAGCCTACAGAATTGTCGAAAATCTTTGCTAGCTACACATTTTACAAAGGGTTAATATCTAAAAGGATAAATAACAAAACCCCCCAAAATAACAAAACAAGGAAATAAACAAGTCAGTTAAGAAATAGACTATGGGAAGCTTAGTGCTGGAGAGCACTTACTGCTCTCCAGAGGACCCTGGCTGGCTTCCTCCTACCTGGAGTAAGCATCTCACAAGCACCTGTAACTCAATCTCCAAGGGATCTGATCCCCTGAATAGGCTTCGTACACACACACACACACACACACACACACACACACACACACACGTGCACACACACACATGCACACGCGCACACACACATTTACTCACACAGACACATACATACACATAAACAAAAATAAATAATGGAACTGAACAGAGAATCCTCAAAAGAAGAAACACAAATGGCTATAAATATTTTCATGGTGTTCAACATCCTTAACCATCAGGGAAAGTAAATTAGAACTATTTTGAGATTCCATCTCAACCCAGGTAGAAATGCTGTCATCAAGAAGGTTGTTTGGAGCGGTGGTGGCACAGGGCTTTAATCCCAGCACTCGGGAGGCAGAGGCAGGCGGATCTTTGTGGGTTTGAGGCCAGCCTGGTCTACAGAGCGAGATCCAGGAAAGGTGCAAAGCTACACAGAGAAACCCTGTCTCGAAAAACCAAAAAACCAAGACAAAACAAACCAAACCAACCAACCAACCAAACAAACAAACAAACAAAACAAAACAAACAAACAAAAAAAGAAGGTTGTTTGGCTCAAACTCTGCCACCTAGGCAGGGGGATCGGGATCTGTCCCTGGTGAATGGGCAGGCTTCTGGGAACCCGGTGCCTGTGGTGTGACACCTTGCACAGTCTTGGTGCAGTGGGAAGGGGCTTGGACCTGCCTAGGCTCAGTGTGCTGGGCTCTGCTGACTCCCCATGGTAGACCTTGATTTGGGGGATGTGGGAATGCAGGGTGGCTTGGGAGAGAGGGCTGGGGGGTGGGAGGAGGGGGATCTGTTGGTGGTATGTGGAGTGAGTAGAAAATTTCTTAATAAAGAAAATGAGAAAAAAGAAAAAGAAAACAAATTATGGTGGCACATGCCTTTAGTTCTAGTACTCGGGAGGCAGAGACAGGCAGATATCTGAGTTCGAGATGAGCCTGGTCTACAGTGAGTTCCAGGACAGCCTAGACTACATAGAGAGACCCTGCCTCCAAAAATAAATAAATAAATAAAATAAAACAAAAACAAAAACAACAAACCTAAAACAAAAAAAAAGGAAGAAAGAAAAAGAAAAGAAATCTCAGTAGACGCTGGTGAGGATGTGGAGAGAGGAAACTTAGCCCTGCTGGTGGGAGTGTCAACCAGGGCAGCCGCTACAGAGTTGGTGTGATGGCTGCCGAGAAATGAAAGCAGAGGCTGGAGGGAGAGAACTAGAAGTTAAGAGCACTTGCTGCTTCTCTGGAGGACTGGAGTTTGGATCCCAGCACCCACATCAGGCTGCTCCAGAGGCTTCAGTGCCTCTGGGCTCTGAGACCACCTGCATTTCCATGTACACACCCACATGCAGACACACACCTACACACAATTAAAAAAAAAATAATGAAAAATAGAACTTGAAGGTGACCCAGCTCTCCCACTCTTAAGCATAAGCTCCAAGGGCTCTATATCCTGCCAGAGATACTTGTACAGCCATATTTGTTCTATTTCCAATAGCAATGATATACAATTAGCCCAGATGTCGATCAACTGATGAATTGATAATGAAAATGTAGATCTTATGGAGCTGTGAAGAAAACAAAATTTGCAGGAAATTTGCAAAATGTCCAGGATGGAACTGGAAAATACATTGAGGTAACTCATGCTCAGAAAGATAACACTACATATTCTTTTTCATATGCAAACCATTCTAACTTATATATGCATTTATGTTGAGGTAAGAGTGTGCATGGAGCCCAGGAAACCAAAAAGGGGCTTCTGAGTGGGGAGTGATTCTTTGAATGGAGAGAAATAGAATGGATCTGATATAAAAGTGGTGAGTGTTGTGGGAATTCATTCGTTCAGCCAATGGCTTTGGGGTGCAAACCCTAGGGCATGGCTTTGTCTGCATATGTGACCCCTTAAGAGTTGAGGGAGAGGAGTCAGGCACTCTCTTGGGTGGCGAGGACCGGACCAGCCAGCGTGGAGCAGCTTGAGCTTGGTTCCCGGCTCCCCTGGGCAGAACGGCAGGACTCAGCAACTGGATCAGTGGCTGTGTCTTCCTTATTCTGTATCTGTGAGTGTATTATCCCCATCTTATACTTTAATAAATTCTTGAGATCCTTTAACAGACTCTCGTGAGTCTGTTTTGGGGACACCTTTTCTGATTGAATTTGATGCCCACTCCACAGGAGGGGGTTCATGTTAGGTACTGTACACCTAGTCAAAAGCCCATGGGGAGAGTGTAGGTCCTAGTGGGAAGCCACCGCCATTGTAGTAATAAAAGGACGTGTTGTGCCCATCGAATTGTATTCCAAACTGTTTCTGCCCGCACATCAGTGTTCCTATCAGCTCTGGTTCCAGGTGCTTCTTTTCACGGTGATTACTGGTCACCAGAGACACTCTACTGGTCAAGGAGCAGACAGTAAATGCCTGTTGAGCGCACAGCTGTAGTAGGACCTCTGTGTCGACTTTTCTAAGGTTCGGGGAGCACTGGGAAACAAGGGGCAGAAGAAGAGAGGAGCCCGAGGAAGGAGTGGGGAGCAGTGTGGACGGAACACTGACTTCTAAGCGTGATATGTCCGTAGACTCTTGGACTCGTAGTAGCTGTGATTGCCTACACAGGATCTGCAAAAGATTGAGGCCCTCAGGATCCTGCTGTGTAGGAGGGAGGGACCTGTGGGGCCTAACCCTCCCTCAGGATTTATACATTGTCAATGTTGGTGGGAGAGCAAGAGATGTTTCCTTCAGTGTGTATCCACTGGTAAGGTGCCGGTGTCCTGGAAAGAACCCAAATGAAACTCACTGAGCCACACACACACAGAGGACATGGATGCTGAATGAACGTTAGAGGATGTTGGATATAGGAAAGAGAGTCACAGGGTTGAGATGAACATGACCGAAATGCACTATGTACATGTAATAAAATCATAATGAAACATTATTATGATGCATAATTAATATATGGTAATAAGACATTTAAAAAATATGTAAGACTAAGAAATTTGTCTAGCTTAGCCATACTACTTGTCCTTAACAAGCTCACTGAGGTGTATCTAATGACATGCTTGTCTGTGTTGATTAAAGGGGACCTTGTTACTAGATGTTACTCACTGGGACCAGAATTACAGGGTTGAAATTAATCTCTTATTAGTCCTTCTCTGGGGAGAAATAAATCAAAGGTGGATATGAGCAGCTTACCACACCTGTGCTGGAGGCGGCGTGGTACAGACAATGATGGTGTTGGCGACTGCTAATGAGGGAGAGGAAGGAAAGATGGGGGTGAAGAAAATGCCAGAGCAGCTGTTTATTCTGTGGCTGCCGTGGCCCTTTCCCTGAGGTAAAGGCTCAACAGACATTTCAAATTTTTGTGATGGCACTCTGGTAATATCCCATTTGGAAACAAAGAAACTGAGGAAGATTCTAAGCAGCTTTCATCCTCTTCAAGGAAAAGCCTCTGAGGAGGAGAGGGCAGCCTGGGAAAGAAGGTGTTTCCTAAGGTAAACTGCCCCTGCAGCATGCTCAGGGCAGCCTGCCGCATTGACCATTAGGTCTCAAGCTCTAGGTGATAGGAAAGAGCTGCTGGCTGGCAAGAGAGCGGGAAGGCAGGAACCTCATGGGGTCATTGTGTTTAAAACTGAAGCTAGAAGTTAGTCAGCTTAAGAAATCAGAACCCATCACAGGGACCAGAACCCATCACAGGGAACCAGAACCCATCACAGGAACTCAGAACCCATCACAGGAACTCAGAACCCATCACAGGGACTCAGAACCCATCACAGGGACTCAGAACCAATCACAGGGGCCAGAACCCATCACAGGGAACCAGAACCCATCACAAGAACTCAGAATCCATCACAGGGATTCAGAACTCATCACAGGGACCAGAACCCATCACAGG